CCCACAGGGAGGAAATAATAATAGTCTTACTAAAATAAAGAATTTCATAAAAATAAACAAATCATTTACAGTAATTTAACAAAGATTGAAAAATAAAAATAGGAAAGGAAAGGAGGGGAAGGAAGAAATTCCTCTCATTGCCACCATTGAGTATTTATGATGCTTATGTCATGAACTATCAAGGGGTTCTTGTAAGGAGTCATAGAAATTGAAAAAGGGCCTCCAAATCCTAATAAAGGTTTGAAGAGACCCTTTGAGTGTATATTTAATTCTTTCTAACTGTAAAAAATACATAACATCTCTGATCCATTGCGAGAAGGATGGGGAAGTACATTGCTTCCATTTTAACAGAATTAAGCATCTTGCAAGAAGAGTGGTGAATGCAATGACTATAAATGAACTATTTGGTAAGTGAGCACAAAATTCTTCTGGCACTAAACCAAACAGACCGGGTCAGGATCAAGTTGGGTTCCAAACATATCTCCCAAAGCTTTAAAAATACCTAACCAAAAGGTGGAAAGATTAGGGCACAGCCAAAACATATGTATTAAATTTGCTGGTTGGCCACGACATCGAGGGCATGATGGGTCAACGTTCGGATAAATCCTTGCTAGTTTAGCTTTTGTCAGGTGAGCCCTGTGTGTAACTTTCAGCTGTATTAGGCTATGCTTGGCAGATGAAGACGAAGTGTGCACTAAGTCTAAAATGGAATCCCATTGGTCTTCTGACAGATCTAGTCCAAGGTTAGAGCTCCAAGCCTTTTTCAAATGTTCAGTTGAATGAAGGTTGATATTGTTAATTTGTTTATAAATCTGTTATAACAGTTTTTTACGGTCTGACTTTAGTTCAAAGATATAATCATTATGTGATTTTATGGGCTTATTCGGAAAGGTGTTGAATGTCCTTTGTACAAAACTCCTTATCTGTAAGTAATAGAAAAAATTATTTTTTTTTGGTAAATTATAGATGTGTGACAAGGATGCAAGCGTGTCTCCTATGTACAGGTTATGAATTGCTCTAATCCCTTTATCAAACCATACAGAGAATATAGAGTTCATGCAAGAGGGAATAAACATGTGATTTGACTTAATAGGAGAGAGCACAGAAGGTCCTTGCAACCCAAAATGTTTTCGGAGCTGAGTCCGTATTGTGTTTGATTGATTCACTATAACATTTGGAGTTAAATTGTTGCTAGAAAGTTGTAAAGCTGCACACACCACCGAACCTAAATTGTATTTGCAAGATTTGAACTCCAATTGCACCCAGTCCGCCTTTTCCACCACTGATACATCTTCAACCCAGTGTATAAGTTTTTGGACATCACATGCCCAGTAGTAAAAAAATAACATTGGGCAGAGCCAAACCTCCGGACTGTTTCGGTCTTTGGAGATAAGTCTTGCTGATTCGACTCGGTCTATTCCCCCATATGAAGGGAATAATATTGGTATCCAATGTTGTAAAGAAAGATTTTTTAATAAAAGTAGCGATATTCTGAAAGAGATATAAAAACTTTGGTAACACTATCATTTTAATTAAGCTAAACCTTGTGAGGTTTCTGAGGAAGTATTTGTCTCTAGAAAATTAATTTGGGCTGAGATGAACTCTACAAATTTATCATCCGCCAGTAAAAGAGGGTTGGAGTCTCCAAACTCTGCTCGGGGGTGGCCGACTTGGGAATCAAGCACAAATAGCTCTATGATCAGATATGACTATACTATTATAAGAGCAAGTCTTAATCTTGGGTAACAGTCTATTATCAAGTAGAAAATAATCTATCTGTGTACAAGTGTGATGCACATTTGAAAAAAGAGGAGTAAGCTCTGGTTTGAGGAAACTTAAACCTCCAGGAATCTGAGATACCATATTGATTCATAAAGTTTTTCACAATTCCTGCAGATTTAGAAAGATTCTGGGGAGTATTAGATGACCTATCCATAATAACATCTAGTATGAGGTTAAAATCACCTCCTACTATAAGAAATCCTGTATCTAGTTTAGGTAAAATCAAAAATAATTTCTCCAAAAAATTGCAGTCATTAAAGTTAGGGGCATAAACGTTTATCAGGATCACCTTGCTAGAAAAGAGATATCCAGTGACAATAACATATCGTCCAATTCGATTGGAGAGGATTGGGAACATACAACAACTGGGGGCATCCAGCCAGAGGCCCAGCACACTCGTTCGTGACCCGGATTGCTTCCTCCAGGGACTAGGTAATAGTGGCTGTGAAGCAGGTTGGTGCTAGAATAGATTCAGATTGGTTGACGGCTTCGGGAGCGTCATACTGTCTAGACAGGGCATCGGCTTTCACATTCTTCTTTCCAGGAAGGTAGGTCACCTTAAAATGAAAGTGGGCAAAGAACATAGCCCAACGAGCTTGTTGGGAATTAAGTAAGTAATCTAAATAAGTAAGTAATCTTTATTATATAGCACCTTTCACAGGCAAAAGCCACAAGGTGCTTCAAAACATAGTAAACAAAGAAAAATACATAACATAACAAAAAAACCAAGACCACACAAAAATCATAACTGCCCATAAATAACTATTTGAACGCCTGGACAAATAAATGAGTCTTTAGTTCTCTCTTAAAATTGACGACAGATTCCATTAAGTGCAAAGAGGAGGGAAGATCATTCCAAAGCCTAGGAGCTACAGCCTGGAAAGAACGGTCACCTCTAGTGCGAAAATAAGTGCGAGGAACTTTCAACAAATTTTGATCCATACACCTCAAAGCACGCGCAGAGGTGCAGGGGTGGATCAAGTCGCTAATATAAGACGGAGCCTTTCCAAGTAAGGCTCTGAAAACCAGAACCAGAATCTTAAACTTATATCTAAAAGACATAGGCAGCTAATGAAGTTGTTTTAACTCTTTCACTGTCGCCGCCTAGTGGTTTGGACGCATACGTCCGAATTTTCAATAACAAAAAAAAATGACGTTCAATAAAAGAAAAATGTATCAAATCAACCAAAAACGGCTTGTTACACTACAAAAAACCTTTCAGATAATATCTGTAGAAAGTTGCGCAATGTTTGTGCCATGGTTTTTTTGTAACAAGTAAAAATAAAATGACCATGGTAGCCATCTTTAAACGGGTCGAGTGTCAGGAAGTANTCATTTACAGTAATTTAACAAAGATTGAAAAATAAAAATAGGAAAGGAAAGGAGGGGAAGGAAGAAATTCCTCTCATTGCCACCATTGAGTATTTGGCTTGTTTTAGACGTAGAAACGCTGTCTCTACCTCTGGGGTCCAACTTAACTGGGATCCTGATCCCCGTGTAAGGGAAGTCTGGGGTGCAGCTACCTCACTAAAATTCCTGATGAAGCGGCGGTAGAAATTAGCAAACCTCAAGAAGCATTGCAGTTCCTTAGTGGTGCAGGGACGAAGCCACAGTTGAATAGCTGCCACCTTCTTCTCGTCCATCCCCACTACACCGGGTCGGATGACGTAACCCAGGAAGTGGACTTGGGTTTGGTGAAATTCATACTTCTCCCCCTTTGCAAAAAGATTTTTTTCACGTAGCCTTTGGAGTACTCGGCAGACATGCTGGAAAAGAGAAGGTGAGTAAATCAAGATATCATCAATGGAGACAATGACGAATCAGTTTATCATGTTACGGATGTTACATGCCGTAAGTTTCAAGGGGATGCCTACAGGTTCTCCGGACCTCCCGCCCTTGTCGCCATTCGCCAGCTGCGTCCTCAGCTCCGCCCACAGGCCTTGTCATCAGTAGCTCGTCTGCCATGTGACCCTTGCTCCACCTCCCCGTCCAGACCCCGCCCACGACTCCTCCGATGCGCCGCTCGTCATTTCTGAAAAGAAATGGCCATGGCTGGAATACTTCGGGAGCTCTGCTCATTTTTCGGATTATTGTTGGTTTGCTTTCTTTGATTTGGACTATTGTATATGACGGTTTCGGTTTATTGGTTTACAATTATTCGCTTTGCCCTTTTCTGTACTTCTGCCTTGGTTTGTTTGCTTTTTGGTTTCGACCTCTTGCCCGGTTTTTGGTTTACGTCTTTGCACGCCCCTCGGATTCTGAAGCTTTGCTCTGTGTATGTTCTGTGTGTTTGTTAGGTACGTAGGGAGTGGTTGCCATATTTATTTTGGTGGTTTTTGTGTATGCTGTTGTTTGGTTAGGGAGTGAGGTGTAGTACTTGTTGTTTTTGTTCTTTGATTTCTCTTGCACGTAAATAAGTTAGATTTTGGTTGTTTTCGGTAGCTGGGCTTTCTGTTTGTTACTTTGGCTATAATCACTCCTGAGTCCTTTTGTACCAGGTTTATTTGTTCTGTGTCTGTCGCGTGTAAATAAAATCAGAAAAATAAAAAAAATACCCCTTTGTCCACGTGTGTTCCCTTGTGCACCACAGCCTGTGTTTCCCTTATTACCCTTTCCCTTCCATTCTGTTACGCCCCAACCCTAGACTGGGGCTCGTAACATGGAACACCGTGTACATAAAGGCTTGAATGATAGAGGGGCTGTTAGCCAATCCATAAGGCATTACCCGATACTCGTATTGTCCAGTGTTGGTGATAAACGAAGTTGGATCCGCACCAAATTGTAAGCGCTGCGAAGATAAGGGTTCTTGTTGCTTCACGGTGATGGCATTCAGGGCCCTATAATCTATACATGGGTGGAGTCCCCCGTCCTCCTTCTTAACAAAGAAGAATCCCACGGGATAGGTAGATGGACGGATGATACCTTGTGCGAGTCCCTCCTGAATGTACGTCTCCATAGCCTCCTCTTCATTGACGAACAGAGAGTAGAGTCGGCCCTTAGGGAGTGGCGCCCACTCCAGGAGGTCTATGGAGCAATCGCACTTCCGTTGAGGGGGCAGCTGAAATGAAAGTTCTTTACTATACACATCCCGGAAGTCAGAATATTCGGGTGGAATGACGGACAGGTCCTCTGGGTCTGGACTTTCCACTAGGGATGCACAGCAAGGTACTGCCATACACAACTGAAAACAGCGAGGTGACCACGCAGTAAGCTCACCTGATGACCAGTTGATTTGGGGGTTGTGAGCCTGTAGCCACGGGTGTCCCAAAATCACTGGATCCTTTGTTGTGGGAAGTACTAGGAAGTCTATCGAGTCCATGTGAAGAGCCTCCACTCATAAAGTAAATGGTCCGGTTCGAAAAGTGACTTGTCCACCGGGTAGAGGCTCCCCACTAACCCCTAAGACAGCAATAGGCGTGGAGAGCTTTTGCAGAGGGATCTATAACTTTCTGGCGAGTAAGACATTCATAAAATTCCCTGCTGCCCCTGAGTCAATTAAAGCCCTGGTATACTGCAACTCTCCCACACTGGTCAAAACCACTGGCACAGTAAATTGTTTAAGTGATACCCCAAAAAATGCTGAGGCTCCTACCTGCACGTGTGGTGTTGAACGGGAGAGGGAGAGTCCCAGAGAGTGGTTGGGTCGGTTGCCAGGGGTGAGATGCCGGGGAGGTCAGTCCTACGAGTAATGACGAGATGGGGTGATGACGAGACAGGAGGAAGGATAAGGGCAGGTCCGGAGAGCAGGGCGAGGGAGGCAGGCAGGCAGGGCAAATGGGGAAGGCACAAGACAAAGTAAGGCTCATATGCATGGCAACAATACTTCGCAATATGTGTGACGTGGTTTCTGCTTTAAGTAGCAGAGTGATTACTCGAAAATTGGATACAGCTGCCCTGCCCTGCCCCTCTGGGCATGACAAGTGCAGCCAAATTTGAAATTGTTTTGAAGGACATTGATGAGAAACATTTTTATTTACTGAAAATACTGAATGTTTTGAACACCTAAGCCCTGTCTCTCTCTTTTTTTCCCTGGTTGAATGTACCCCGAATAAAACATTGGCCCTTGCCTGCCACCCCCAGTAAAACTGGTCTAGAACCGCCCCTGCATCAGGTGTTTGTTTGCAGAATAGGCATAGCAGAACATGCACACATTTTGTGTGCAAACACGTCACTGATTAGTAGCAAACAGACAAGTCAGAATGAAATAGCAGTAATGTTTGTTAAAATGCTAATGTGTTTCTACTAATAACTTCACTGAAATGTGACTGAAATGTTTTATAAAAGAGATTACACCATGCATTGAAACTTCTGTAGTCAATTAATTAAAATCATATAGACATCATGATGAAGCTATTATCCTATCCATACTTACATTTTAACAAGCATTATTGCTCTATTGGTACATAGGAAATGTGTAACTTACAGTTTTTACCCATTGCTTGGGTATTTTACACACATGCTTAAACCAAAGTAACATAACTTGAAGTTGTTGTTACTATACCTTAAACAAAGCGTAACCATGCCTTAAACAAAAGCTCTGCTTTGCACTTTAGTTGCAATTCTGCAACACACTTGCTCTTGCATACTACACACTATTTCATACATAAGACCCTTCATTCAAAAATGAAATCTCAGGGTACCATTAGGAAAACACATACTGTATATTCAAAATACAAAACACATTGGGTAATTGAAAATACTTACTTACAAAACTGAACACCAATCAGGCAGCTACAAAAAGGCCTCACTTAGCCCCTTGGGACCGGCGATCCCGCCGGCGGGAT